ATCCGGAAAAACCTTTCTTGCTATTTCCGACCACTTTTTACTTTCGACTTGATTTAAGATCATTTTCCAGTGATCGAAAATTCCATAATTTTCAGTAGTGCATTGCCACTGTCCTTGCGTATACCATGCAAACAATGGCCCTACCTGGTCTTTGTGATGATATTGACTACATTTACAAGAATTTCCTATGGGGCATGACAACAACTCCAAGAAAATTCATACTATCAATTGGACTAAAATTTGTAAACCCCGTAATTTAGGAGGTCTTAGAATCAGATTAGCACAGGACTTCAACCTTGCCTTCTTGACTAAGCTTGCATGGCATGTCGTTACATGCCCAAAGAAGTTTTGGGTAAAGGCCTTGACCGAGAAATATGTGAAATCTAATGACTTTCTTGTTGGGTAATATGGTTGTAAAATCCCAAAATAATAATAATCCTACGGAAAGATTAAATATTATATGGGAAAACAGAAAGACAGGGAAGGAAAAGGTTGAGTGTTTGGATATAGGTTTAGCACGAGTTCGAACACAAGGTTCTTTTCTTTAAAACCTTATTTTCTACTTCCCACAAGTGCTAGGAGCGTTGTAGCATAGGTTTCCCAGGATAAAACGTGCTACGATTCTTTGTTTAAGCACCTAAACAAGGAACCCGGCAAACAAAGCAAAGTAGAGAACACTAGTTGGTAAAGAAGAGAGTAGAAGCAGAGTTTTGGGAAGCTGAAAGCTACTGGAATTCCTTTCGTTTTTGTACTGTGTAAAATGCTACTGCTCTACCTCTCTTTATATAGGGCTGTTGGAAGGGATAGCATTCAACATGGCTTTTAATTGGCATTAAACCAATTGTATAACACCTGTAACGGTCACCCACTAAGTAGGATTAAACTCAGATTTAAAATTGGAATTAAAACAATATTAATTCCGTAACAGATGAGTTTAATCTGTACAACAGGCTGAACTTTCGGGTTTCAGACCGTTGGGGTGCAGGTTCACACGAGAGCACACGGACCAGCAACACGAGAGTACATCTCTCGTGTGCACTGTGGTGCAACCCGAGAGTGCACCACTCTCGTGGTCACAGAATGCACGAGAGTTGTGCTCTCGGTGCACCACAGCCTCTCTTGCTCCTCTGTAGCACGAGAGTAGGTCACAGATGCACGAGAGTTGTGATCTCGGTGCACCACAACCTCTCTTGCTCCTCTGTAGCACGAGAGTAGGTGCTCTCGGTTCGGTTCCGGCCGAACCAAGTGACTATATCAGTTGGAAAATGATACCGAAGTTAGGCATAACTTAGCCCAGCCCATTTCCGGACGACATTCGTGCCCGCAGGTGCCGGCGCACGCGAGCTCGGGCTTGATTTCAAGCCTTTTGCACCACAAAATATTCACTTAATATGCCATTTTATGCCATTTTATGCCATTTTAAGCTAATTTTTCCAACATTTCTATCGATCAACAAGGGTGCAGTGACGCATCTTGGTGTTTGGAAGAGCATCCTTAAGGGAAGAAATGTCTTGACGAGAGGGACCAAATGGAAAGTTGGTATCGAGACTTCCCTCATCTTCTGGGAAGACTGGTGTGTTGGGAAATCATTTCAATTCTATCTCGATGGAAAAATTCGGTTCATCCCCAATGGAGATGGGGAAGGGGAATTTTTTCGGAGAACGGGTTAATTACCACCCACGAGCAATGGTTGCGTACTTTCCTATATATAAATTAAAGAATGATGGTGTTAGTATCGATCACCACCGTACCCACTTTGCATAGCAGTTCTATTTTCTAGCTTAGTCCATTTTTCACCTTGTAGATGTCCGAACTAGCCTTTGTGATCTTCATGAAAGTTATATCGCTTTTGTGTTGCCATTTCAATGCCACTTGAATCACCTCATTTGGACACTCCTAGCTCGAGATATGCTCAAAATACCTAGACATCGCCTGACAGAGAAAAAAATGCAAAGCAGAATGCAGTCATGCTGGCAGTAGTCATGGCGTGACCACCTGCGTGACCAATGTTCTTCACTTCAAAATGCATATTTCTTCATCTCTTCTGTTCCTTTGGGTTCCCAGGTCATGTCATGATACTTCCAACGAGCTCTTTTTACGTTCTTGACCTCTAATGACTGCCGAAACGCCTTTGTGCCAAGATGACTTCAAAACACATCTAACTGAGCTCCAATTTACATGATGTTACAACCAATGCCTCCAAATCACCTAAATGACACAAACAAATCAAATAAGCTAAGCACATACTTAGCTTCCAATAGTCATGAAATCATATGAATTTGATATCAATTGTGCACATAAAAGTACATACTAAGAATTTGCACTTATCAAATTCCTACCTTGTAACCCTAGCCGGCAAAAATTATAAAAAGGTGAACTAACCTAGGTTGTCCATAATTTACTAGCTCAAACCAAAAAGGCTAATAAACTACTTCACAGAAGTGAAATTTGTAACCTTAGCTTGTAATCTAGCTTGTAGTTATCAAGTCAATATCGGACCATTTATTAGTCTTCTTAGTTTGAACAAATCAGCTATAGACAAATTAAACTAATTTACCTCTTTAAAGTCCTTTGCCAACTAAAATCACAAAACAAATTTCATCCAAAACGCACTTTCAATAACCATTTCAGATAGCAACTGTGAGCTAGCTTCTTGTAAATAAAAAATCATGCTATCAATGGGCAATTACTGACAGCACATGCAATTTGAATCAATTGTTGACAGCACATGCAATTTGAATATTTAATTTATCTCCCCAATAAAAAGATTCTTGGTTTTTTTAAATTCAAGAAATTCAGGAACAGTTTAAAAAAAAAAAAAAACTCAAGAACTCAAACCACTAACCTCTAGAGGAGAGAGCTGATAAACAAACTTTTCTAGCATCTCATGACCAAAGAGATCGGAGACCGGGCGGTGTTCCTTGTCTTCTCCCTTGCTGTACTCAGTTTTTGGTCCATGTAAGATTCCAGTAGTTGTCAATGAAACCAGTATATGATTCTGATCACCAGTAAATCAAAACCATTAATTTTATTCTTGCAAAGTATTAATTAAAAAGAGAAGAAGATATATGAGGTATGTATTATGTATACCTCTTGTTTCACGGCAAGAAAGCTTAGATCAGGGCCATACATGGAAGCAGTGAACACAAGATAGATATAGGCCATGTTTGATAACATAATTAGTTTATCAACTAATTTTGATTTATTTAACCATTATTAGCTATTTGACTTGTTAAATAATTAATATGAATGTTTGATTAATTAGATTTTTGTAACAACTTATTTTACTTTAAAATGATAAAATTAAAAAAGTTGTTCAAACTAAAGTAACTTTTTTGATTAATTTTTTGAGAAAGTTATTATCAGCTAACAACTAATTTACAATACAGTTTTCTACCATCAACTAATGATATCAACTAATCAAACTCACTAATCCGGACCTTTCCTTTGCGGGGTGCGTGATACAGGAGTGCCGGGAGTTTCAAAGACACTTTGAATCAGTGTCTTTTCAGTTTATAAATAGATCAGTGAACAAGTTGGTTCACGCATTAGCTCGAGCGACTCGTTCTCAATCTGGTCCTCTTTGTTGGTTGATTTCGATTCCTCCGTGTATTGAACAATTATTTTAATGAAGTTTCTAAGTTTTTCCTTTCAAAAAAAAAAAAAAACTAATCAAACTCACTAATCCAATCAGCTAAAATTTATTTACCAAACACCTCGATCATAACCTTGTGGCATTCATAGGAAGAATGGATATTATTTTTTCACCTATCAAAATTAACTCATAAAGTACAATTAACTAAAATATATCTTAAGAATATTTGAGTTAACTATGATATTGTGGACACTTTTGGTTATTACAATCACATTTTCTATGAAATTCTATTTTAGGTAAGGCCGGCATTTTCGTCTTTTTAATTTTTAATTTTTATTTTTCAATTGTCTGACAGCTATGGAGCTCGATCTCAAAAAGTCATGATGGCAAAGACGAAATACTTCTGGCTTCCGCTGCTGCCAGCACTATTAAGCTGAAGGTTGGAGATTCCCCGTCAATGGTTTCCTCCGGTGATTTGCCGGATCTCATGGTGGACCGGGCATCTCCGATGATGATCTCCGGTAACCAACAGGTCCAAACCCTTGATTTTCTTGGTGTGGGTGGTGGCAATGTCAATGTCAAGTGTCAACTACTCCGTAATATAATAACGAACTGGATAGAAATTAAATCAGAAATAATTTATTCAATAATCTCAAAGTTGAAATATTAAAATAGAAGAACAGTTCATGTTACGTTCGTGTATTATAGGTAGGAATAAGGGTTAAATAGGTCATCGAATTGCACACCATAATGTAATTAGTTTACTGAACCTAAAAAATAATTAGAATTGAATTAAGAACCTTCGTCTTCGTCGGGAAGGTTTTGTTTTTTTTAAAAAATATTTTAAATTTGGGATAAATTGTTAGAAACCTAAAGAACTTAAGTTTGACTATTACGTGAAATAAGTTAATTTACGATTCAATTGTATTTTTTTTTAAATTCAGTCGCCTAATTGCATTATCATGTGTCGTTAGAAGGCATATTTGACCCTTATTCCTTATAATAGCATTTTGTACGCGCGAAAATTCATGCCCAATATTAAAATATTGATAAATACAAATAATTAAAAATTATAATTTGAATTATATATACACAAATAATATATGTATTTTGTACACACACATATATAATTTATCATTCATAGAAATTTAATTAAAATATGATTAAGCATTAAATTAATATATAATGATTTTAATAAAATGATAATTAAAAAATAGGAAAAAGATATGATAGATATATGTGGATGGTAATAATGATGTGTTATCAATGTTATAATTAAAAACTAACGGTGTAAGGGTAGTTTTGTCTAATAATATTGAAATGTACAACATTTAAAATAAAATGTACACATTTATTTGCATACAAAAAGAGTGACATAAATCAATGATATAACCTTAATTGAGACTTATTATGTTTTTAGATATATTACGGAAATGAAAACAAGCGTAGCTTTTCATATGTCCAGAAGGAGAAAGAGATTTTGAAAGCCATCCAATGGATTTCCAGAGCGTTTTGGTAGCAGCATTGTTGGCGTTGACTTTGATCCATGGCCTCAGATTATTAGCAAAGAGAAGCAGTAATGGCAAGAAACTTCCCCCGGGGCCATTTCCATTCCCGGTGTTCGGAAACCTTCATTTGCTCGGGAACAAACCCCACGTCTCCATATCCCGGCTAGCCGGAAAATATGGTCCAGTTATGACGCTAAAACTGGGCATGATAAACACAGTGGTCATTTCCTCACCCGCCATGGCCAAAGAAGCTCTACAGAAGCAAGACTTAGCCTTCTCTACCCGGTTACCCCCTGATGCTTTTCGAGCTAACAACCACTGCCAATTCTCTGTTGTTTGGCTCCCCGTTGCGTCCAAGTGGAGAGCCCTTCGAAAGATCATGAATACCAACATCTTTTCCGTCAACAAGCTCGATACCAACGAGCAGCTGAGAGCTAAAAAGATCCAAGAACTTATTGTGTATTGCCAAAAGAACAGCGAGGTAGGGGAAGCGGTGGATATTGGGCGTGCAGCTTTCAGGACTACCCTCAATTTGCTGTCAAACACCATTTTCTCCAAAGATTTAACCGACCCTTATTCCGATTCTGCCAAAGAATTCAGGGATTTGGTGTGGAATATGATGCTGGAAGCTGGAAAGCCTAACCTGGTTGACTACTTTCCCTTTCTTGAAAAGTTTGATCCCCAGGGTATACGCCGCCAGATGTCTGGTTATTTCACTAAGATGTTCGACCTTTTTCAAGATTTGATTGATGAACGGCTGGAGGAGAGGAAAGTGAAAGGAAACAGAAGTGATGATGTATTAGATTCACTTCTCAACATCAGCCAAGAAAGGCCAGAAGAAATTGATAGGACTCACATTCTGCGCATGCTCATGGTATGTATAATAATGTATGTCTTTCCAGGCCCTTTCAATTCTGCTATACTGAATCTTAGGCAGTGTTGTACATGTTAATAGGACTTGTTTGCTGCGGGAACTGATACATCATCAAGCACATTAGAGTGGGCAATGACAGAACTTCTTAAGAATCCAGAGGTTATGGCGAAAGTTCAAGTGGAGCTTGCTGATGTTATTGGTAAAGGCAAGTTACTACATGAAAGTGATGTTACTCATCTGCCTTACTTGCAATGCGTCATTAAAGAAACCTTTAGAATACACCCACCGGTTTCAATGATTCAACGTAAAGTTGATCATGAAGTGAACCTATGTGGATATACTATTCCCAAGGACTCACAAATTCTAATTAATGTATGGGCCATTGGGCGTGACCCTAAAATTTGGGAGAACCCGTTGGTCTTTAACCCAGAGAGGTTTTGGAATTTAGAAATGGACTTCAAAGGGCAGGATTTTGAACTCATTCCATTTGGTGTTGGTAGAAGGATTTGTCCCAGATTGTCAATGGCAGTAAGGACAATTCCGGTAATGTTAGGATCATTAGTAAACTCATTCAAGTGGAAGCTTGAGGGTGACATTGCACCTAAAGATTTGGACATGGAGGAAAAGTTCGGCTTCACAATGGCTAAAGGTTGTCCTCTTAGAGCCATTCCTATCTCCTTTTAACATAATATCACTGTTCCGTAGCAGATATTTGCTATTCCAAATAAACTAAACGAATAATATAGTGTACTCTAGAGTTGTATGATTTAGGCATATATATTACACTGTCATAGTACATAGGATTGCAAAAGAACTACCTTACACTACAAGAAAAATCACAAATCAGGATGAAATCACGGTGACGGAATTTTGTGTTTTCGCGACAAAATTCTTCCATCACGAATCGTGATTTCTCTTATAATGTTAAGTGTTTGTTTAGTATTTGAGTGTAAGTTTTTTTAACATTCTATTTTTAAATATTTATGGGAATTTCATTTTATTGTTGATCATTGATGAATGCAATGTTGAAAACCCATGTCGATGTGCATATGAATATGTCATTCATAAGAATGCATGTCTAAGGTAAAATCCGCTGTAATAATGATCTACAAGGTTCCAAAAACTCTTCGTAGGAGATATCGACTAACCTTCTTAGTTTGAGTCAACTAACTATGGACAATCTATGCCTATTTACCTATGAGCAATAGTTGTGGACTTTTCTATAAATAAAAGAATGATGGTGTTAGTATCAACAAGATAAAATTTGTCATTTGTCTGTTGAATTTCACTCTCGTAGTTGACCTTATCGCATATTTTTCCTTATTTAGTTTACCTCTCTTGTGTGATTCGCAAGCTATTATACAGTAGCACGCAGAGTTTACCCAATGTACACTTTCGAGTAGTGACTGCAGATTTCATTACCTACTGGAAGACAAGGAGAACCGGGCTTTTCCAACAATTACTGCAACTTAGTAATTGTTGACCTACTTTAAAAGTAATTGTGCACATACTTATTTGTGGCTCATTTGAATCTCAAGATCAGATTTAAATACAAGTCTCTTTCTCATAGTTATTGGGTCAGATATGACTGAATACCAATATAACAAGCATTATTGTACAATAGAACTAAGTGATTATGTTTTGAAAATGAAAATTTCATTAGCAAGTTGAGTGATGGATTGGCAATTATTGTAAGCTAGTTTGCAGCAACACAATATATATCTATTAAATAATGCAACACAACATGATCTGAAGAGGTACTCTATTAAAAGGGAATGGGGATAGCCCTAAGAGGATGAGCTTTAGCCAATGTAAGTCCAAACTTTTCCTCCATGTCTAAATCCTTGGGTGCAATGTCATCTTCAAGTTTCCACTGGAATGAGTTTAGTAACGACCCCAACATTACCGGAACCATCCTCATTGCCATTGGCAATCCCGGACAAATTCTTCTACCCGCACCAAATGGAATGAGTTCAAAATCTTGTCCTCTAACATTTATTCCAAAATTCCAGAATCGCTCAGGATTGAAGATCAATGGGTTTTCCCAAATACTGGAATCACGCCCAATTGCCCATACGTTGACTAGAATTTGTGAGTCCTTAGGAACAGTGTATCCACATAGGTTGACTTCTTGTTCAACTTTGCGCGGAATCAAGAATGGAACAGGTGGGTGCATTCTAAAAGTTTCTTTTACGATGCATTGTAAGTAAGGCAAACGAGTAACATCAGCTTCCTGTATTAGCTTGCCTTTACCAATAACATCTGCCAGCTCCGCTTGAGCTTTTGCCAAAGCATTTGGATTTTTAAGAAGTTCTGTCATTGCCCACTCTAATGTGTTTGATGATGTGTCAGTTCCCGCCGCAAACAAATCCTGTTAAAGTGCATGATAATACTTGTAAGATTGAATAGGGTTCTAAATCAAGCAATTATAAGATAACCAAAGTAAAGAAGAGCAACTAACATACCAAGAAAACATGCAAAATATAATTCCTGTCGATCTCCTCTGGTCTTTCTTGGCTGATGTTAAGAAGTGAATCTAATACATCAACATTTTTGCAGCCCATCACTTTCCTCTCCTCCAGCCGTTCATCAATCAAATCTTCGAAAAGCTCTAGCACCTTAGTGAAATGGCCTGTCAAGCGACACCGGATACCCTGGGGATCAAACTTTTCAAGAAGGGGAAAGTAGTCAACCAGGTTGGGCTTTCCAGCTTCCACCATCATATTCCACACCAAGTCCCTGAATTGTTTGGCAGAATCGGAATAAGGGTCGGTTAAATCTTTGGAGAAAATGGTGTTGGACAGCAAATTGAGGGTAGTCCTGAAAGCTGCACGCCCAATATCCACCGCTTCCCCAGCTTGGCTTTTATTTTGGCAGTAGATAATCAGCTCCTGGATCTTTGTAACTCTCAGATGTTGGTTGTTGTCGAGCTTGCTGCCGGAAAAGATGTTGGAATTCATGGCCTTTCGAAGGGTTCTCCATTTGGAAGCGACGGGGAGCCAAACAACAGAGAATTGGCTATGGTTGCGAGCTCTCAGGGCGTCAGGGATTGACCGGGTGGAGAAGGTTAAGTCTTGTTTCTGTAGGGCTTCTTTGGCCATGGTGGACGAAGAAATAACCACTGTATTTATCATGCCCAGCTTCAGATTCATAACCGGACCATATTTTCCGGCAAGCCGGGCTAGGGACTTGTGGGGTAGGTCTCCAAGCAAGTGAAGGTTTCCGACCACCGGCAACTGGAACGGCCCCGGAGGAAATTTCCTGCCCCTTTTTGCTAATAATAAACGGAGGCATTGAACCAAAGTCCAGGCCAAGCATAGTGCTATCAAAATCCTCTGGTAATCCATATCCATGGACGACTCTCTCTCTCTCTCTGAACCTCAAATTAAATAATGCAAGGATGTATATAGTAGTATCGGCTGGTGAACTTAATTTTATATAGTGGAAAGACAATGTGGGCATATATGCAGATTGTTTATACCGAATTGAATTAGCACTTAGCAGGTACGTACTGGTGAAACTTGTGGACATAAATTCACGAGTCAAATATGTTGGAAAGATTTTAGTGGCTTGCAAAATTTGCCACATCCCAGCAGGCCTGTATTTTTGGCAAAAAACTATATATACCGAATTGGTTGTCTGCTAAATCAATAGGACTTGTTTGTTAAGGGACGGATATATCTTCCAACACAGTAGAATGGACAATGATAGAACTTCTTAATAACAGCTAAACTATGGCCAAAGCTCAAGCAGAGCATGCAATGTAATTGACAAAGGCAGGTCGGCTATTAAAGGAATTAATTAAGCTGATGTTACTGGTCTTCCTTACTTGCAATGCATTGTGAAAGGTTTTGAAATTCTAAAATAAATGTTAAGGGCGTGATTTTGAGCTTATTTCATTTGGTGTTGGTTGAAGGACTTGCCCGGTAATCATGCTAGGGTTATTGTTGAACTCATTTCGGTGGAAGATATATAGAAGGTTACATAGCACCAAAGGATTTGAACATGGAAGAGAAGTTTGGAATTACATTGATCGAATTGGCTAAAGTTCATCCTCTTGGAGCCATCCCTATTCCCTTGTAACATAATACCACGCCAATTTTATTCTCAATCCTTATATAATAGTTTCCAATGATTATGTTGCGCCGAATATGATTGGAGAATCTCATGCACGTTATCACAAAATTTATTACTAAAATAAGTACAAATCTTCAATTTCAAAACATAGTTACAAGATATAATATGTATTTCAGAATTGTATTGTTATTGTTATAGTATGGTGTTGTTGTTGTGTTGTTATGCTAATTTAATTCCAGTCAGGGAAATGCTAGCTTTTCATGAATAAAGAAATCACTGGAAACTACCATGGAAAAAATGCTAGAGTCAAGAACTAACATAAATTTTCTATTTTAAAATTCTACAAAAGATTACGTACATTCACTTGTTGCCTTTGCGATGTTAGGTTACCTAACAAAAGAAGGTCCCATTTCCTGACAATTAACAGTCTGCCGTTAATGAAATAAACGACAGACTGTATGTTTGTAAGTGATCAAAGCAATATGCATCCTAGTCCGGTCTGAACGGTGGCCGGGTAGGAGTTTATCAAATCCGTTGACAGTTTGTCTAAGCTTGCTGCTGGCTCATAGTAGCTAATCCCGTTTGGGTTCTGATTACTATTCTATTGGTGGTGCTACTTGGGTGGACTGATGCTATTGGCCTGTGTGCTTTATTTGTTGGCCTGTGTGCCATTTATTAGTTTATTTGGGCCTGCGTGTCTCTTATTTTGTTTGCCTTGTGCCAAAATGGGCTAACATGCATTCTGGGAGGTTTTGGCCAGCCGATAGCTTTGACGAGACGTTGGCGTGGAGCGTTGCGACCGTGTTGGAACTGTTGCATCGTTGCATTGTGGTGCAGAGTCGCGGCATTGCAACTTTGTGGTGGTGCGGCATGGTGGCGCAACCGTACATTCTAGTCATCTCAGAAACATCTGCTATGCTACCGCTAGCCTATCATTTGGGCTTGGGTCAATTCTTTTATTTTTTATTTCATTCTTTAGACCTGACCTGTTATTGGAGTTTTTGGGTCCGTTCTTTATTTAGATTTCTTTAGATTAGTATGTGCCCAATCTAAAGGGCTAAATGTGGTTTATGCTCACTTTTGGGGCAAATTATGCTGTGCATCCGTATGCACCATGCATGGTGAATACGGATGTAAAAACGACGTCGTTTTATTAAAAACGCGCGTCTCCCCTTAAAACAAAAAATTCAGGTTCGATTCCCAACAACAACATATGAACTAAAATTCCAGAATCGATGAACTATAATTCCATAATCTATGAACTATAATTCCAGAATCTAATCTATGAACTAAAAATTCCAGAATGAATGAACTAAAATTCCAGAACCTATGAACTAAAATTCCAGAATCTATGAACTAAAATTTCAGAATCGATGAACTACAATTCCAGAATCGATGAACTATAATTCCAGAATCAATGAACTAAAATTCCAGAACCTATGAACTAAAATTCCAGAATCTATGAACTAAAATTTCAGAATCGATGAACTACAATTCCAGAATCGATGAACTATAATTCCAGAATCAATGAACTAAAATTCCATAATCTATGAACTAAAATTCCAAAATGAATGAACAACATAATGTTGTTGCTGGGAATCGAACCTGAAAATTTTTTTTAAAAGGGAAGACGCGCGTTTTTAATAAAACGACGTCGTTTTTGCATCCGTATGCACCATGCATGGTGCATACGGATGCACAGCATAACTACTCCACTTTTGGACCATCTTTTGTAAATCCTTCTAATTCCTTTGATTAATAAAATATATTTGTTAAAAAAAAAAAATAAGTTATGCATTATAAAAAAAAATATACATGAAATTGGTTTAAGAAAAAAAAAAAAGCAATATGAAATAAACGGCAGACTGTTAATTGACAGGAAATTGGACCTTCTTTTGTTACATTAAGAAAATGCATTAATAAATAATGGAATAGATCTATTTTTGGAAATGTAATATCTATTTTTGAAAACGTTATTTATTACAGGTCTATTCTACTAACAGAACTGGCTTGTTATTAAAGGGTGATGGTAACATCAATAAATATTAAATAGTCTTTGTTGTTGTTTGCTTTTAAATGTGTTAGGACCACACAATCATTTACTCGATCTAGAAAGGTAGATGGGTTGGCAACATCAATAAATATTAAATAGTCTTTGTTGTTGTTTGCTTTTAAATGTGTTATTTTCGATTGACATTAGCCCAAGTGGCCAAATTGGAATCCCTTATGTAAGGGGAAATGAATGGAAGGCATGCATATCAAAGCAATAGTTTTATTTTATTTTATTTTTTTAATAACGAAGATTTTTTTTTTTTTTTTTTTGTCATACATTATAAACCTCATAAATTTCTCCAAGCTTATCAGGAAATAAATCGGTGTATAAAGATCAGAGTCCAATCTAAACCCAAACTTCTAATGTTCGTGGCGAGAATCGAACCCCCACCTTGTAAACATGAACTGAAGAGGTACTCTATTAAAAAGGAATGGGGATAGCCCTAAGAGGATGAGCTTTAGCCAATGTAATACCAAACTTTTCCTCCATGTCCAAATCCTTTGGTGCAATGTCATCTTCAAGTTTCCATTGGAATGAGTTTAGTAACGACCCCAACATTACCGGAACCATCCTCATTGCCATTGGCAATCCCGGACAAATTCTTCTACCCGCACCAAATGAAATGAGTTCAAAATCTTGTCCTCTAACATTTATTCCAAAATTCCAGAATCGCTCAGGATTGAAGATCAATGGGTTTTTCCAAATACTGGAATCACGCCCAATTGCTCATACGTTGACTAGAATTTGTGAGTCCTTAGGAACAGTGTATCCACATAGGTTGACTTCTTGTTCAACTTTGCGCGGAATCAAGAATGGAACAGGTGGGTGCATTCTAAAAGTTTCTTTTAGGATGCATTGCAAGTAAGGCAAATGAGTAACATCAGCTTCCTGTATTGACTTGCCTTTACCAATAACATCTGCAAGCTCCGCTTGAGCTTTTGCCATAGCATTTGGATTATTAAGAAGCTCCGCCATTGCCCACTCTAATGTGTTTGATGATGTGTCGGTCCCAGCCCCAAACAGATCCTGTTAACATGTGTGATAATACTTGTAAGATTGAATAGGGTTCTAAATCAAGAAATTATAAGATAACCAAAGTGAAGAAGACCAACTAACATACCAAGAAAACATGCAAAATATAATTCCTGTCGATTTCCTCTGGTCTTTCTTGGCTGAAGTTAAGAAGTGAATCTAATACATCAACATTTTTGCTGCCCATCACTTTTCTCTCTTCCAGCCGTTCATCAATCAAATCTTCGAAAAGCTCTAGCACCTTAGTGAAATGACCTTTCATGCGACGTCTTGAACCTTGGGGATCAAACTTTTCAAGAAAGGGAAAGTAATCAACCAGGTTGGGCTTTCCAGCTTCCTCCATGATGTTCCAAACCAATTCTTTGAATTCTTTGGCCGAATCCGAAAAAGGGTCGGTTAAATCCTTAGAGAAAATGGTGTTGGACAGCAAATTGAGAGTAGTCCTGAAAGCTGCACGCCAATATCCACCGCTTCCCCTGCTTGGCTTTTATTTTGGCAGTAGATAATCAGCTCCTGGATCTTTGTAACTCTCAGATGTTGGTTGTTGTCGAGCTTGCTGCCGGAAAAGATGTTGGAATTCATGGCCTTTCGAAGGGTTCTCCACTGGGAGGCGACGGGGAGCCAAACAACAGAGAATTGGCAATGGTTGCGAGCTCTCAGGGCGTCAGGGATTGACCGGGTGGAGAAGGTTAAGTCTTGTTTCTGTAAGGCTTCTTTGGCCATGGTGGACGAAGAAATAACCACTGTGTTTATCATACCCAGCTTCAGATTCATAACCGGACCATATTTTCCGGCAAGCCGGGTTAGGGACTTGTGGGGTTGGGTTCCAAGCAAGTGAAGGTTTCCGATGACCGGCCATGGAAATGGCCCTGGTGGAAGCTTTTTGCCTATTACACTAATATTTCTACTTATTTTTGCTAATAAACAGAGGCCTTGGACCAAAGTCCAGGCAAACACTACTGCAACTATAATGTTCTGGAAATCCATTCTCTCTCTGATCTCTCTTTAAGTTGTAGGAATATAATGGCCGGAATGACAATCTGCTCTATATGTTTGGATATATATACAGAATGGTCTATGGTATGAACTATGAGGGTTATATTATATTGGTGATTTCAGACTGATGGCTTATATACTATATTACTATTTCCATATAGTCTTAATTAGATTTTGACAGTAAAACCATTATTGGCGTTGCCATCGCTACATAAAAACGTGTTTTGAATGTTGCGCCTAGTAAAGTCATCGGCGTTAGGCGTAGGCGCCGGTTTTTTTTTTTTTTTTTTTTTTAGGTGTGAATAATAGCTGATTGGCATATTAGGCGGCGGACTGTCTAATTAAAGTATTAAACCAACATTGATAATGGAAATATTATGGGGTATAAATTATAATTTTCTCTTTTTTTTATTTGATTCATTTATAAAAAAAAAAATGAACAAAAATATGTTACAAAGATATTTTTTATATAAAAAAAAATTAATTAATCCGTTAATGATAATAATTGTAATATGTACATAAAAACTATAATAATACTAACTAGATAAACCAATCATGAAAAAAACAAATTATAAATAAAATTTATAAATATAGTGATGATAACTAAAATTATGTATTCCAACCTACTAAAGTTAGTATTACATTAACTAATAAAGTCAAATTTGCCATTTTCCGACCACCGAAAAGTGGTCGGAAATGGCCTTAATTAGGTCGGAAACGCCTGTTCCGACCTCTTTTCCGACCAATTTGGGTATTCAGAAAAATCCCCCTAGCTATTTCCAACCACCAGAGAGAGTGGTCGGAAAGAGTAACCACTTTTCTAAGACCGTCGGAAAAAATGGCCAAGATAATAGTTAGGCGGGTCCAGATTTTCCGACCACTGGTGGTCGAAAATTTCGACCACTTTGGTGGTCGGAAAACTAGACACAGTGAATAAAAAAAATTCATTTCACTACAGAGGAATCCTCTGTAATGAAATATATATATATATATATATATATATTGTTGCAAGCTGGTAAGATATTTGCTAAAAAACATAATGCTTCAAGAGAATTCATTCATCGATATATAGTTGAAAATTTAAAACAAGTCAAAATATGACATTTCTATTAGTCTCTTAATTCTAAATGTATAAACAAGAAAGACACAAGTTCCCATTTGCAGTATGGAAGCAGCATGTTCCATCATTAGTGTTTCTATTGTATAAACAAGAAAGACACAAGTTCCAATTTGCAGTATGGAAGCAGCCTGTTCCATCATCAGTGTTTCCATTGTCCTTCTGCAGATTAGGCATTTTCACTATTAGGCAGCTGAAAGAAGCAGAAATATATAAACAAGCTAGCTTTCATGTTTCATCTCAGATTTTGAATTGCACTCTATTTTTAAATATCTAACCAGGGATGGTTAGAGCTCTCTTAAATGGAGTAATGCAATTCAACATCATTGCCTCATTTGTTAAACACATGGAATCAACCAACTCATTCAGACATAACAAAGGTCTAACCTTTACCCAAATTCAAAAATACTAATTCAGGAGAATAAATTAATAAATTGTTAACTATTGGTATATTCTTAAGTGTTAGTGTGTTATTACAAATGAGTTATAAGCATCTATATAAAGTTCTATACCATAAATGCAATGGCTAATAGAAGATCTGGACCCTGCTTTAGATCTTGTTAAAAGAGCAAGAAGGCTGAAGGCTTCATACACCTAAGCAAGAAAAGCAAATCTCTAAAAGGAGTGATATGATAACATAATTTATGTAAATCAAATTTCAAAGTGACAAAAACAATGTCAGAAGTACCTAAAAAGTTTGGGGGGAGCCTTCTCAGGAATAATATCATCTTCACTTGCAACTTTCTTGCTAATTGGAGCAAACCCTCCAAAAAGCACCCAAAATTCACTAGAATTTGTTTCAGCTTTTAGATTTCCATCAAGGAAAACAAAGATCATTCCATAGTTCTACTATTAGTATATTTTATTAGAAAAGCTAACCAAATAATAAGAATAACACAATTCTCCAAGGTTCAAAATGAAATAAGTTGCAACGTAACCTTACAGCAAGCTAACAAATGCAGCACCAAGTTAAGCTAAAAGGGATCCCAAATGCCGAAAACTTTTCGAACTGTTTTCCCAACTTTCAAATCAAAGACAGTATTATTATTTGATAACTATGACAAGTGCACAAAGTACAGGCAAGCATATCCCAAGATGTAATCCCATACAGAGATATGTCACAAATTTAGATGTGTACACAAACAGCTCAAAAGTCAAAACACATTAAAGAATGATGCTCTGATTATACTAAAAGATTACAGCACAGTGTAATATACACAGCAGCACCAAGTCCAAAATCCTTGCTTAAATACTTTAGAAGGGAAAAAAATTACCTCTTTGTCAACCTGGCTCGGGGCATTATCCTCAGTTCTAGGAATTTCATCAGTATTATTTGCATCTGAAGAATCACTAGTCTCTTGAACTTCTCCCCCAGCCTTGTACTTTGATTTTGACCTATCTGTAGCTTCAACCTGTTTAAGTAAAAAATAAGAAATAAATAAATACATCAAGAAATAAATAAATAAGAGAATAAGAATGAAAAAATAAAAAATAATTAAAAGAAACAATTGCTGAAAAATGGACTACTAACTTGGCAAAATGCATTTATCAACTCAGGTCTCAAAATACAAAATCTGGAACCTGGACAGCTACAATTGGCATCACAAGGTGTGACTCTAATCAGGTCCAATATATAATGCCTGGTTGCCAGTGTTAGAAAAATTAATGCCTAAACTCAAAAAGTTATTGTTGCCCAAACAAACTATCTCATACCTGTCATTGCTGCCAACAATACCCTTGTACTCCATTGATGCAGCCAACTCAAAAATATTTCCAAATCCATCATAGACAGCATGTAACTTCAAGTGGAGACGCTTTGCAGCTTCAACTACCTATTGATAGCCAAAGGATTAAAAATATTGATTGAACCAAGAAACAGGTAGTCTCTATAGTAGAGAAGAATATCTCAATATTTAAGACTTGATTATCAATGAGGCACTAATATTCATCAGCATATTGCACTTAAAGAGAATAGACCACAAGTTTATTAGACACCTGTGCAACGACCCTGTGACCTCTGTAATCAATTATGGCCATTGCAAGACTGTATAGCCCAGGGACATCAACTTCTTGATATGCCTTTGTGCCTTTTAGGTCATTGTTTGCACTTGCATATGTGGCTTGCTCACCTTCAGCCAACTGATTCTCAGTTGGCTTCAGTGCACCCCCTACAAAGACAACATTCAGTAAACCCTTAATAGCATCTATAAATGAAGATCGGTCATCAAGATTCCTCTACCAATCCCATTGATGGAAGATACTCACTGGTCTTCAATCTTGTCAACAAGCCCCTTCCTAATCTTCTTCCTTATAGTGATCACTGCCCTCACATCTATGCAGAGGAACTGCAATTCAAAATTTTGCAGATTGATCAATGGCCAATCACAATTTCAACTAAGTAACAAGACTAACAAGCAAATCCTAGGTGGTTCCCTCCCCATATAATAAAAAATTACAACTGAAATAAGCTCAGAAAATTCATTTGAATCATCAACTCAAAGACTCATCAATTTCAATTTTAACATACTGACCATCATCAAACAGATTCTTCTTCGGTGTTGCAGGTGGATGCTGAATCCTAGGCGGTCTTCTCCCTTTCTTGTCTTTCGGCCTCGCCTATAGAAATTCACACACAAATATTAATTTATACAGTAACACTATACTGAATCAGAATTGGTATGCCGAAATAAACCTGAATATTTTGTGAATTAGATTCCAGCTATAAAGAAAAATGCTTACATTTTGAAATGAGTGATTGAAATTGGCGGTCTTCTTATCTCCTCATCCCTGAAATAATAAGAGTAGAGCATAAAACTCATCCAGCTCATTCATATATGTATGTCACAGAAAAGTACCTAAACCCTAAAATGAAAGAAAATACCTCACGCCGATCTGCTCACGCCGCTCCTAGGAAGTAGCCACAGGTTTGCTCAATAGAATTAGGAAATTAAGGATTAGGGTTTAAGATTAGAGGACTAACCTGTAGGATGGTGATGGAGACCGTGGTAGAGTCGGGAAAAGACGACAATGGCAGAAACTTTGGTGCAGGCTTAGACGTCGGAGGAGGTGGGAGCAACGGCGTAGAGAAGGCTTAGACAGCGGCGGAGTCGGGCGGAGTCGGGAGCGACGACGAAGAGAAGGCTGAGACAGCGGCGGAGGCAAGAGCGGGAACGACATCGTCCAGAGGTGGGAAGTGTTTGGTTCTCTGCTGAGCTACGTCGTCCACAGAGGCAGGAGCGTTTTATATTTTGGTTGAGTGAAGGCATGGGGAGTCTGTTTTATTTTTGAGCTGAGTGAAGGTGTGGGGACTGGGGGGTGTGTTTTATTTTTGAGCTGAGCGACGACGTTTTGGTGTTTGAACGAAAAAAAATTTAAATTTGGAGAAAATTTTCCGACCACCTAGAAAATGTGGTCGAAAATTCCGACCACTTTCCGACCAGTATAACCTTTCATCGAAAAAATAAAAAAAAATCATATGTTGCGACCAGTTTTTTGACTGGTCGGAAATGTGGTCAGAAAAAGAAGAATTTCCAGCAGTGCGCCAACATAACAATAAGTATTAAAATGATTAAAATGAAGATTGAAAAATATTTTAAAGATGTCAAATTTAATTATATATGTCAAATTGAAAGTCTTTCACTTAACATAATATACTTAGTAATTTTTAATTTGTATAAACTTAAATAAGTAACTTCATTATTATTTCTTTGTGGAATTCTTATAATTAATTATTTCTAAAGATCTTTTTTTGAATACTACTAACTCTATTATTATAATGTAGTATCGAGACTCAAACCCCCAACCTCCCATATAAGGAAGCAACTTGGTGTCATTGGACCACAAGATCCTTGGATTATTCGACCCTAATTGATTTTACCCGTCTTTTGTGTGTGTGTGTGTCAACCTATTAATTTTAAATTAAGATTGACATTTTTAGACATATCAAAATCTTGCCCATGATTACAAATCCTATCCTATATCCTATCCTATCCTATATATAAAAAAGCCAAACAGATTTGGAACATTTTTCCGCCCATATAAAAGGCAGCGTTTTGGGCTTAAAATTCATCAAAGCATTTGCATGTAAAAACTTCTATCTGACAACTTAATTTTAATATAAAATATTTCAGTAGTTGCGTGCAAGAAACCACTTTGTAGGTGCTAGCTACTATTTCCAAGGCACAAATTCAGCTTGCTATTTTCAATGCAATAAAAATTTAATTTTTGTTGACAAGTACAACACAAACAAGTACATATTTTTAAAATTAAATTTTAAAAAGATAAAGCCTATAAATAGATGGTTCTGCACCCACATCTACACGGAGTATTCACTTTCTCCATTTTTGATAGTTATGGACATTTGAAGGACTGATTGCTTCTCATTTGTTTTGAATTGATTCTCATTTGATTTGCAGAAAAATGGAGACGAGGAGGCCAAGCTTAGCATGAACACACAAGCTCAAAAAAAGCTAATAGAAACCATTTTGAAGGATTTCAATAGCATACCAAGCAATACCCCTGCACCCTGTATTAATTTCCTGTGTTCTTACATCCATTGACACCTGAATTTATTGAGAACAAAGAATGATCATAATAGCAACATAACTCAAACCCAAGTAAGTACATGCATATTCTTACATTCTCAATGGTAATAATATCTTACATTGTTCTCTTAGTTACTGTATATTATGTTCTATCATATTCATGCATCTTAGTGAAGCAAATATTCACTAGGAGCTCTATGTTGATTGCATTTTAATGAAAATTATGTTATATATCAGAATATAAGAAAAGGAAACGGAAATTGAGTGTGCAGATGCTATTTGGATAACATTCAAATACATCCTTATGGAAATAGATAGCTCAGAATTACCATTGTGAGAATTAAAGCAAGTAATAATCTCAAGAAGTGGAATTCTCAAATCCAAGTTTAAAGCATGTATGCAAGTTTAAAAAATGGCACAAAACAATTTATACTATTTATAATATATAGAATATAGGAAAAGGAACATGCAAGCATTCAAACTGAGTGGAACATTCAAATACATGATGAATATTGGTGAATATGAAAGAAGCTTTAGGACTTTGGATGATCTTTGTGAGAATTAAAGAATGTAAGTATAAGTGGGATTTGCAGTTATATGTGTGTGTGTGTGTGAACTATAAAATTCAAAAAAAAAAAAAAATGCCTTCAAATCTTTGAATAGAAACTTATCTTCTATCATTTGGAGTTGATACATTCCTATACTATAGATCTTTCTTCCCCGCTTATGCAAGTTATAATACTGAATTTTCCAGATCTGCAATTATAGCATGTATGTCAATACAAAAATCACCAAAAATAACATGTTATGCAAAGTAAAAACAAACTGTAAAAATTAAAAAATAAAGATTTAAAATATTATACCACAAAATGCATACTAAATACAGAGATTCAATAAAAATTAAAAAATAAAGATTTAAAATATTATACCAAAAAATGCATATTAAATACAGAGATTCAATAAATTATATACAAATACAGTAAAAAAAAATTTAAAAGAAAAAAACTTACGAGTACAGTAAAAACTAAACAAAAATTATTTAAAAAATAAACTGGAAATAATTAATATATATTTGTATGTGCGTGTGGTATATATATATATATATATATATATATATATATATATATATATATATATATATAATATAATATAATATAATGTTACTGTCACTAATTTGCACATATAAATTAATTTATCAAACAGAAAAAAATCACATAAAGTTGTAAAATGAAATACAAACTAATAAAAAAGTAAACAATCAAATAACATTCGGGAGAAAAATGTGCATACATTTGATGAGATTTTTTTGGTTTAAATAAATTTTCCGATTAAGCATGTAAAGTTTGCATGTTAAAAAAAAAAACAAAAAATTAGTAGAAATTGAAAAAATCTACTATAAATGAATAACATTTCAAAAATTAAACCAAAAGAATTATATCGAAAAGTATAATCATGTAATGGGGAGAAAAAATCGAAAAATATAATCATATGTTTTGCTGAAAAAATCAAAAAAAAAAAAATTATTGAACCAAAAGAAACTATTAAAAAAGGGGAAAAAATAACAAGAAAAATAAAAAAAAAATATTAATAATAAAAAGTATAACATACACAGTATAATCGAATATTTTCTCTCAATGGACCTACGCGATTTGTATGTCTGAAAAAAAAAAGTTAAAAGAAAATAGATATCTTATACATTAAAAACCTTTAGAAAAAAAATGAACATAAAGAATTTTAGATATACCTATTTGTTTCCATGCTTTTGTTCCTGTTTCCAGATATAGTCGCGAGGCTTACGGCGAAGAATTAGAATCAGAAGAATGGTAGATTAGGATTTGTGGTTGATAATAGATGAAGGGGTGAAAGGAGTGCGCTGCTGATGAAAAGAAAGAAGAGAAGTGGAAGTAAGCTGCGGCCGGGAAGAAAGAAGAAATGGGGATTAGGGTTTTCAGATGTTAATATTAATTAATAGGTTGGGTATTCAATCGTTATGCGTTGGACCCGTGTCCTGGACACGGGTAACGGCACTGTTATCTCCTTTTTTTTAATTTCAGACTGCTTCGTTATAGGAGTATATGTTCATAATTTTATTACTATATGTTAATAACTGTACCTTCATAACTCCATAACTGTATGTTCATAACTCCATAATTGTACATTCATAATTTTCGAAGCTCTATGTTCATAATTTTATCACTATATGTTCATAATTGTAAGTTCATAATGTCAGAGCTCTTTGTTCATAATTCGATCAATAACTGTACATTCATAATTCCATAACTGTAGATTCATAATCTCATAACTGTAGATTCATAACTTCATAACTGTAGATTCATAACTCTATAACTGTACATTCATAACTCCATAACTGTACATTCATAATCTTCGAAGCTCTATATTCACAATTTTAAAGCTCCATGGTCATAATTTTATCACTATATGTTCATAATTGTAAGTTCAAATTGTTAGAGCTCTGTGTTCATAATTTCATAATTGCATAACTGTACATTCATAACGGCATAACTGTACATTCATAATCCAAAAAAAAAAAAAAAAGTACCGCCGTTAACGGCAAAACGCGCACAATTTTTTTTTTTTATATAACTAAATGACGTGTTTTTTTTTTTTTTTTTTAAAAACGACGTCGTTTTTGGCCCGTATTCACAATTCATTGTGGACACGGGTCCAGGGCATAATTTGCCTTGGGTATTGGGTTGGGCTGGTTTGGGCTATAATTTAGTTGGGTTGTAATTAAATATTGTTTTGTAATAAGTTTCATTAAATGAGGCATTGAGGTCCGATAATTTTTTTTGATCAAATAACATTATTATTATTATTATTATTACTAGTATTTGCACCCGTGCGATGCACGGAATGAATTTGTTGTAATATAGTAAGAATATATGAATCGATATATAATTATTTAAATTAGAACATCAAATATTATATAGTGCAATTAAATATTATATATTTGCATCGTTTATATATTTTGATGTTATTATTGCTTGAATTTGTGCAAATAATTGCTCAAATTAATAGCTAATGTCTAGATGTACACATACGGTGCTATAACTTTGAAGATTTTATTTATCATTATTTAGTATTTTCATAAATTAGGCAAATGTGCTCGTTCTCTAACAACTCAGTTATAGAAATAAATTGGTATCCTTATTCATTTGTATGGAAGATATATATTTTTTTGTCAAGATATATAACAATTTTTTCATTTAAAAAAAAAAACTTAATATCACCGATTATATTTACACATTATTGAAACCTCTTTGTAAACGACATTGGTAGTGACAACGCAATCTTGTTCATCTTCGTCTAGAGCTAACATCTTCAATCCATCAGGACGAGTTACTCGGGTTAAAATATATAATGGTTGAATTACTTAATTAGTTATCCTTTTATATTTTCAGTCAATTAGGGATATCAGATTCATTTTCAGCAAATTATTCTTTTTTATTTTCAGTCAATTAGTCAATTAGAATATCAAATGCAGTGATATTTTTACCTAATTTTCGTTCCATTTTTAATTGATGATGTAGATATTATTATTGAAATATTTCGGTTCCATTTTTAATTTACCTTTAGTATTGTTAAAAAATATGCATTTACTATTGATAATGTAGAATATTATTATTGAAATATTTTTTCCTCAAATTTTTAATTTTCATTCCATTTTTAATTAAAATGCAATGATCTGACCATTTATTTTTTTTTTTAGTCAATTATGGATCATTTTTTATTTGCAGTCAATTATTAATATTCATTTCATTTTATATTTTCAGACAATTAGTAATATTAGATTCATTTTCAGTCAATTATTTTTTTTTTATTTTCAGTCAATTAGAATATAGATGTAGTGATATTTTTACCTAATTTTCGTTACATTTTAATTTGATGATTTTTAATTTACATTTACTATTTTTTAAAAATATGTCTTTACTACTTGATGATGTAAAATATTATTACTGAAATTTTTCCTTTTCATTTTTAATTTTCCTTTACTTCTAAAAAAAAAAAAAAAAAAAAAAAAAAAAAACTTTGAACTTCTCACTACTTGTCCACAGTGATGGGCAAACAATTATGTTTGTAAACATTTTCAAAAGCTCATCTTTTCAAACATTTTCAATGTGAGATTAAAATGATATCACATCATTCTTCTTATTTTTTTCTAATTTTAATTTTAGTTTGTATATCGTTTTGTTTGGATGATGATGATGATGATTATTATTATTATTATTATTATTATTATTATTATTTGATTATTGACGATTTAAAAAAAAATGAGATTGACAAATTTACCAAAATTTTAACAAATTCGCCAT